TACTACTACTACTACTACTACTACTACTACTACTACTACTACTACTACTACTACTACTACTACTACTACTACTACTACTACTACTACTACTACTACTACTACTACTACTACTACTACTACTACTACTACTACTACTACTACTACTACTACTACATTACTAGGCTAATTAGCTTAATCAATAATCTTAATTAAGCATTTTCATTTTAATTATATCAGCTTCTGTAGTAAGACAGTGATAATAGTGTTATTTGCTGCCAAAACATATCACAAAAGTAATCCAAATGTACTACTTCTCATCAATGTCAACTTAATTACTTTTATTTTATATATCGTTTGAGGGAGAAAAAAAAAAGGAAAGAAAGGAAGGAAAATGCATTGGTCGTTATGATGAAAGGATTTTCAATTCACTTTCCATTTAATTATAGTTATATGTCTGATAAATTTCATTTCTAATTTTTCTCTAAATAATATTTACAGCCACATTTTTTTTCATTCTTTTGATTTTTTTCCCTTTTTTCTTTTCCTTTTTTTTTCTTTTTTTTTTTGAATAGAATATAGCTGTAATTAATTACTGTTAAAATGAAAAATTTAATTAATTACTGCTAAAACAATAAATGATAAATGTAATGAAACATTGTAAATTTTCATTTAAAACTGAAAATTTTAATGGAAAAAATTTTCGTAATTCATAGAAATTTGTTTAAAAAAATAAAATAAAAAAAATCTGTAAAATATTGAAATAATTTAAACGTAAAACTTTTTTCGTTTATGGATTAGTAAAATTAATTGATTGCTGACAATATTTGTTTAATTTAATTAATTGTTGAAAATTTTTAAAGGTAAAAAAAAGAGGATGCGAATTTTCATTTCTTATTTTTATAAATATGAGTTATTCATTATATTTTATTAAACTAACAAATAATGCCAAATTAATAATACTTTGCAAGTAATACCAAATTTGTTTTTAATCAAAATAAAATTATTAAAAGAATTAATAATTTATCAATTAGACCAAAAATGATAAAGTATTGTATATGTATGTAGTTATTGTAAAGTACAACTTTTTAATCAATTATGCAATACTTTTGCATGTTTTCTGCATGCTGCATGTTACTGCAATACATTAGCATGATATGAGATGGATGAGATTTGCAATATCATGCTATAATATATATTCTTAAATAAACATAGCCATATTATATATGATCCTATGGCTTATTTCTTGTCTTATTTTTATTGCTTGGCCAATCATTTATTATTTGTTCAGTATTTTATGGCTCTTTCAAGCTATAACTATTATGTTTTAGAGAGGAAGGAAAAATTTGAATGATTTTATTTTATGACTTCAAATGGGGTGTAAGATAACCATGACCAACAAGTGATTTGTATTGCTAGTCCATTTAGCCGATATAAACATAGCTAGCAAAATGTTTGATGAAGTAATCGATAGATTCAAGAAAGATTTGCATTTTAGGAAATTTTGTGAAAATGGGGACAATTTTTAAAAATAATTTGATGTAATGATCAAAATTATCGAATATTAGCAATGACCAATTGAATGACCAAAAATCATTGAATATTAGCAATGACCAGTTGAGAGTAATCAGTAATCAAAACGAATCCTTTTACAACTGAACAAACAAAATTTGAACAAAAGGAAATGTGACATTAACCATTTTATGGGTGATATTTTGGTATTTTAATATTTCGAGAAAATTGTCTCAAAAGTATAAATCACTAATTCTTAATATTTATTAAATAAGATTAAAAAAAATTTTTATATTTTCAAAATATCAATTGTTGTTGGATGGGATAAAATTTGTTTCGAAAAAAAAAGAAAGAAAATAATAATTTTCCGGAAAATTAAAATATTTCCGGAAAATTAAAGTAACAAATTCTTGTTTAAATCAATAAAATTTATTTGAGAAGAAAAAGACAATGATGTATCAATTCAATTCTTTTTCAGAATAATAAAATATATTCAAAAAATATTTCAATTTGGAATTTATTTTAGATTTATAAACGAAAAAAAAAGATTTACTCAGATAATAAAACACGAAACATATAAAGATAATAATGATAATTAATTAACAATCTAATATTAATTAATACAATAATGATGATAAATGAAGATGGACAAAAGGTATCAAATGTTGTATATATATGTGTGTATGTGTGTGTGTATGTATATGTATGTGTGTATGTGTATGTGTGTGTGCATGTGTGTGTATGTATGTGTGTGTATATGTGCACGTATATGTGTCTGTATGAGTGTGTGTATGTATGTATATATTTGGCGTGTATGTATATGTGTGTACATGTGTATATATATATATATGTGTGTACGTATGTATGTGTGTATATGTATGTATGTGTATATATTTGTGTATGTGTTATGTGTATGTGTGTGTGTGTATTTGTGTGCGTATGTGTGTGTGCATGTGTGTATGTATGTGTGTGTGTATGTGTACGTATGTGTGTGTGTGTCTGTATGTGTGTGTCTGTATATACATACATACGTATGTATGTGTATATTTGGCGTGTATGTATGTGTATGTACGTGTGTACATGTGTATATATATGTATATGTGTGTGTACGTATGTATGTATGTGTGTATATGTATGTGTATGTGTTTGTGTATGTGTATATGTGTGTATGTGTGTATGTGTATGTATGTGTGTGTATGTGATAATGATGAAATGCTTGCAAATGTTAATATTTGCCTATGTTTCTTTACTTTTGTTAAAATATTTTGATCCATTGCCATCGCAAATCCATTTGGTAGAAGGGAAAAGTCCGAAAAGGACAGAGAGTTGAATGAACCAAAGAAGTAGTATTTATCAAATGACAGAAAAATTTCCAGAAAAAAAAAAAAAA